GTTTAATGTTAGTATATGCTATAGTAGCAATTATGTACATTGTATTTTCCAAAAGTTGTTGGAGGGTGATGTAACTACAAATTACCCACAGTGATGTCAAGTGCATACATGTATTTTTTAGTGAAAAAATAACAAAATAGTACATTTCTGAAACTGATAATAACCTCAAAGTAGTAAAAAAAAAATATTTACTGTTAATGGTTTGTTTGTTTTGTTTTTTCAGTGTATGATGTTAGCAATCGAAAATCATTTCAAAAATTAGACATGTGGTTAAATGAACTTGAAACCTTTTCAACCAAATCAGACATAGTGAAAATGTTAGTTGGAAACAAAATAGACATGGTAGGTACTAAATGTTATTGTTTGTAAACAAGCCATTATGTATTACTGTAAAATACTTTGTTTCAGCTGGAATTAATTTAGCTGAAAAGACATTTTGGCTGTTTTGTATAAAATTTTCACTGATTTTTGATGTCTTGAATGTAAAATATAGAAAAAAGATAAATTCATTGGATTTTCTTTTCACTGAATCTCCCCTATAAATTCTAAGTGAGAATAAAGTATTTTACAGTACTTAGAAAATTCATTACTATACAATAATATCTTACACATTCTTCTACTACCTGGTAGAACAAAGTCACTTTGATTAGGGATTTATCATTTATTAGTTTTGAAAATAACTGCTGTCTTAGGACAACAGGATGTGTGAACTTTAAGTGGGGTCATGTACCATAGTTATATTGTACATCAACACTAGATTTATATCTCTCAAATTTGACAGTGATTCCATGCTTACCCTAGCTTTAATCACTTGATATGTATTTGTTGTTCATATTTAGGATAAAAGAGAAGTGGACAGACAAGAAGGTTTGAAATTTGCCAGAAAACATGCTATGTTATTTATAGAGGCTAGCGCTAAGACTAAGGAAGGTGTTCAAGTGGCTTTTGAAGAATTAGTTGAAAAGGTAAGAATGTTTATTTATTTATTACTCCTACCAAACGTGCTCTATTTGATGCGCTACTCAAATAAAAGCCTGTTAAATAAAAACTGTTAACTTGTATACTGAGTCATTGAAAATGTAACTAATTTCAACCATATACACACCTTTGTCATTTTCATAGAGCAAATACTAATAGGGAAAATCTTTCTATTTTATTTTTTTCAATTTCAGGTTATTCAAACTCCAGGACTTTGGGAAAATGACAGTAGAGGGGGGATGTCACTGAATGATAGAGGAAATCAATCTGTTAGCCAAGGTTGTGGTGGATACTGCTCACTCTTGTAGTACTTGAATTCATTGATGACATCATACTTTACCAAGTGTGTACTAATCGTTTTCATAATGACCATGCAACTTGATACTGGAAATAATAATGCTGTGAGCTGAGTGCAAATGAATATGCATGGCATTCAACGAAGAACAATTGTCCGATGCTGTAAACTGATATAATTTTATTTATTCTGAATTGTTGAGCAGCAAATGACTCGTATATATTTTTTAATCACCGTGCAGACAATATTTAAAGAACAAAGACCTTTTGATCTACCTCTGCGTGTCTGTCTGTGGATGTCAGACATGCTTGGACTGATCATGTTTACTGGTATGATAGTTATGCTTACTATTAATATAAATAAATTATACATACTAAACCTGTTTACATCATAATATAGGTACAGTTGATACATGGTTATCATGTATGTAAAAAAAGATATTTACAATCGCTGTTGTTTGTATCTATTAGTTTTTTTTGTTTTGTTTTTATTATTTTCTGATATTGATATTACCTAAGGAGGATTGTGTGAGGATTACTGTAAACCTCTTAAAAAGGGTGGTGGTCTGATATTGGTTCTAGAACGATGTATACAACATGAAAAATACAAGTTTGCTTATACAAAATTAAAAAATGCGCAGTGTAGCAATCACTGGTTATTTGATTCATGAGTCAGGAATGAATGAATAAATGCCATGAAAATATTTCATTTTGAATCTTCAAGATATCGAATCACAAAGAATTTTGTTTTGAATTATCAACAAAAATTTATAGTAGTAGAAAAAATGCTTTTCAATCTGCGTGTAAGTTGACAAAAGACCAAACTTTGCAAGTTTTAAATTATATTATCTAGAACAGTATTGACAGCTTATTTATTAGTAGTTAAGCCAATCTCCCAGGCAGAGTTCTATTTCTATGAATATATCTCTGCCACCATGCGATTTTATGCTTGTTGTAGATTGTCGATGTGTCGCGGTGGAACTACTTTCAAAGACGCCCAACAAAACATTGCCAGGCAGGTGTTCGATTTTCGAACCTGTCGAAAGCGTGCACGTTGTTTGTAGATTCTGGCTGTTATTTGATTGAGAAGCTCATTTTTTTACTTTCCGTAGCACAAACATGCTTTCGTTTGTTTATATTTCTTCGCCTGGCAATCGACAGGACGGTCAGTTTGATGAACCAAGTAACACCTTAGTAACCGTTATTCCGTGATGAAATTATTTTCTTTTGTAAATTATAACTATTTCACCCTTGACAGTGCGTTATGAGCTATTGATACAATATTTTAAAACTTGTTTATCAGTATGAATAAATTAACACGAGAGCCCTGTAATAAAAAAATACGAGAATAATACACATAGTAAAACTCTTGTGGCATTTCACCACAAAATGGCGGTGTGTGGTGGCAGAGATACTTTTGGTGATCCAACCGCAAGGGACTCTGAGAGCGAGAATGTAGTTAAGCTTTAAATTTTCGTTTTTATTATTTCCATGTACTGTATATGCATAGTGTCTTAACAGTTTCATTTGGGGATTGGTGTTGGTATTTACACACACAACACTTAAATAAATAAAAAAACACAAGATCTATAGTCGCTTTTCTTGTTTCCTACTACCGGTACCGTACATGAAGTTAGTAATGTAATTATTTTTGTAACTTGTTTTGAGGTTTCAGCAGGTTAACAACTGTTAGTCTTCCATCTTGCATGAAAGTACCACAGCCTTGCTACACCATGTTTGATCCGAGCAACATTTAAACGCAAGGTGACTGTGGTTTGGGCTTAAGGAAAGAAAAACCTCTTTTTTGTGAATTTACACACGTCTCTTGAGCAAACAATTGACTTAAAATATGCCCAGTCCAATATATACATTGATTACTAAAGTATATATCAGTAAATTACAGAGATTGTTCTAATAATAATTAAGTGTGCGTTAGCCGTGTCCATCCTGAAATTAATGTATACGATATAAAATACTGTTATATTTGGAACAGACCTCTACCACAAGATGAAAGAGGTGTCAAGCCCACCTGGCTAAGTGATAGTAACTTTTGTATTTGTGTATTGTAGAATAATGTGATGGTATCTTGTACAATGTTTGCAATACAACACTGAGGTTCAAATCTATATGTTGTGTGTAATGTTTGAATTTATAGTTACCTCTTGACATGCTTTTTAGTCCTTGTCCAAAAATGGGGACTTATGTTTTGACCTCCCTGCGTGTGTGCGTGCGTGCATGTGTGCGTCCGGACCTGTATCTTAGAAATGCTTGGACCAATCACAATCAAACTTCACACATACATCATACATGACATTATACATATGCACATTAATTTGTTTCAAGATGGCCGAATGGCAGCCATTTTTGTACTGAAAAATCATCAAAATTAAGCATTTCTCTGCTGTTTACAGATGGATTTTTTCAAACTTGGTATATACATTCGACCTTATAGGAGCTTGATGCACATCATTTTGTTTTTCAGATGAGATTCCAAATGGCCGACTGGCCGCCATTTTGTTTTAATGAATGTGGTTCTAGTGCCATATTTCTGACTTGCTGTGACTGATTATGTTCAAATTTTAAATATTCATTATACATCATGTCATAGATATACAGATATATTAGTTTGACGACCCTATTAAAATGGCCGAATGGTGGCCATTTTTGTGCTAAAAAATCATCAAATATCAAGCATTTGTGGCATTTATGGATGGATTCCGTTGGAACTTAGTACATACGTCGGACATTACAGATTCCTGATGTATGTCATTTTATTTTTCAGATTGGATTTAAAATGGCTGACTGCCAGCCATTTTGTTTTAATGAATGGGCTTCTAGAGCCATATCTCTGACATGCTTTGACTGATTATGTTCATTATTTTATATATTCATCATACATCATGTTATACATATATACATGTATTCAAAATGGCTGATTTTGTTTTAATTAATGATGTTTCAGAGCAATATCTCTCAATGTGAACAAGTACTTGTTTGACGATCAGATACAAATATCAATCATTTTAATTTCCTGACATGGTTATATTCCAGCTATATTACTATAAACAAAACTATATATCTTAAATTTGATAACTATCTGGGACTGTGCCATGGATGGCTTGTTAAACTTTCAATTTTATTGAAAATTTAAAAAGTTACAGAATTCTATTGTTTTTCTAAAATGGTTCTCCTGACAGTAGATATAAAACATGAAAACCTTGTCCCACCACATTTTTGTTCAAGAAACATTTTACATATTTTCATGAATTTGTTTTTATAATTTCTTTACTTTTGGATTGAATGGACACAATTTCAGAGTGCCCTACAGTCTTTATCAAATAATTTGGAAATTCATAGAATCCATGCTGTTTTATTTGTGAGAGAAGACAGAAATTGACTTTGGTGTACAGATGCATGCATTTTATGCTGCCTTTTCACCAACTTACAACTCAATGCACTGTCAATTCTGCATTTGCTGTAGTTTTGTGGAAATATTTTCTTGGCTGTTGGCTCTCAGATGTTTTGGAGTGTACATATAGATACCAAGATGTCACAAACTATATATTGTCCATGTAAAGTAGCAGTGGCGGATCCAGCAAAATGTATTTGGGGGGGGGGGGGGGTTCCAAGCTTCGTTTAAGATATACGGAGCGTAAATTGCAGAGAAGCTATGCGTAATCCAGACGATATAAATCGTCATGCGTTTTTGGGGGGGGGCATGTCCTTGCTAGGACAACTTATTTTATCTTTATTTTTATTACCACATAACAAACCCAAGTTGCATTTTCGTGGGAATATCATGATCAAAGTACCAAAGTCTCGCGCAGATGAGAAACAAGGTTATACATGGAATAAATTTTTATTTCATTTCTTCTCTCCGATCAATGATCTCACTTACAATTCTTTGAGAATCACACAAATCTGATGGAAAAAAAGAATTAATTTTTTTTTTTCTGCCCTCAAAAAAATTGCCTTATAAAAACTCGAGAAACAAGGAATAAAAAAGTCTGGCCTAAATGTACTAGTCATAATAAATGTAATTTTGGTCTGGGAACAGATTCTGTCTTCTAAGTTTTGAGTTGGGTATGTCTATCCTTCTCAATTTATAATACATGACTGCTCTTCTAAAGCGAGTCATTATGATTGACTCCCATGTGCGAAGCACATAATGGGAGTCTTTGCAGTTAGTGTGTCTGTATGTCTGTATGTGTGTGTGTGTATGTGTGTATGTGTGTCCGACTGTTCCACTGCTATCTCAAGAACCATACATTGGTTTTGGATGAAACTTGGTGCATAGATGCTCTGGGTCAATGCACAGATTTGATTAGGTTTTGGTAAAAATCCATGTTCGTTAATTACCTAATTTGCATGATAATTAGCTAATTTTTAGCTGTTCTACGACTGTTCTACCGGTACTGATATCTAAAGAACCACTCATTGGATTTTGATGAAACTTAGTACATAGATGCTCTGAACATATGCGCAGATTTGATTAGTTTTTGGTAATAATCCGTGCATATTAATTACCTAATTGGCATGATAATTAGCTATTTTTTAGTGGTTCCATGACTGTTCCACTGATATCTAAACAACCACTCATTGGATTTTGATGAAACTTGGTACATAGATGCTCTGAACTAATGCTAGGTTTTGATTAGTTTTTGGTAATAATCGGTGGATACTAATTACCTAATTTGCATAATGATTAGTCAATTTTTGGTTTTTCCACTGATATTTCAAGTACTAATCATCACATTTCAATGAAACTTGGTACATGATG